TGTGTTGTTTCACGCCGACCAACAAACGACAGACAGTGCCGTAGCGCGTGAGCGCAGGGGGGCGGGGGGAACCCCGTTCTCCAAACGGCGTGCAAGCAAGCAAGCAAGAGAGAGAGAGAGAGAGAGTAAAAGAATTGCGGGTGGGCTTCACGCCCGGGGGTCCTGAGAGAGAGAGAGAGAGAGAGAGAGAGTGAGAGTCGGAGGATGTCTTGGTGCCTTGGAGCTTCCGAACGCCCGGCGTGAAGAAGGCATGGCGGCCAATTCCGTGAGTCTGTGCTGCAGTGGAGGCGTTTCCGAAGCCAAGCTTCGGTTTATCTTGGCAGATTTCGATGGCATGTCACGCATCCGGTGCAGGCAGCTGGAGGCACCTCGAAAGGAGGCCGTGACGAAACCCTGCTGAAGGACTCTGCAGGAGGCCGGTTGTCGTGGGAAGCTCATGATTTTGGTTTTCCCATGTTTGGGAAGATTCAGCGGCCGACATCTCCTTCGGTGTATTCCTGACAGTGTCGTGAGGATCTCTTCACCTCCCAGTATTGCTTGTGCAGACCGCGCAGGGCTTCTTTTTTTAAATTACCGACGGTTTTCAGTTGGGCATGCTCCTGAGTGTGCACCCGGCCCTGCGTGCAATGTCAATAGCGTGGGAGGCACGCCGTGTAGCTGGTAGAGGGTATCGGGCGTTGCAAGTTCCAGGCATGTGGCCTCTGTTATGCTCCTTCTCGGGTTCTTGAAAGTCGGAAATGCAGACAGTTCAAGATCTAGGGGATAAGGGTGCAAGGTTGGAGGGCAGGCAAAGGTTCAAGTGCTCGGCTTGGGGTTGCGAAACGCCATCACCTCCAACGTAAGCTCACATCAAATTTGCCGGGATTCCTTCCTAGCACAGCTACACGAGATCGACTGAATAAAATGTTACATCGGGGGAAATGGTCTCGCATGGAACTGACCCGGAAATCAAGTCTCTGCTGGCCTTCGAAGGCTGGCGATTTCTTGTGTGCCAGTTTCGTTGGATTGACGGAGCGGAGCTTGCCTTGTTTCTCTGTGGTTCCGACAGGTGACGAGGATGGCGGCAGCTGGGAAGAAAAACCGCCTGTGTGCCCTGGGCCCAGACGTACGAGACCTCAACAGTCTACACGACCGCTGGATGCAACCGAGGCCAAAGATATTGTCACGTGTACAGGGAAGGCGAGCTACAAGAGCTGTCGCAAGCTCTGTTTTTCCTTTCTGTCATAGCCTGCGCATTCGACGGGGGCTTCTGAGGTTGGAGCAGTTGCCGGAATTGGAAGTTCTGGAAAGCCTACGACCAAGCCCATTCCTGTCGCACAAGATCGTGGTCTTGCTTGATGTGTGCCTGGAAGCCTGCTTCGCAGAAGTCTCAGGCTATTTCGACACTGGCAACTGGTGTGCCGTAGCGAGGAAGCGGGACGTGCGACAGTTGACGTCCCCGGACAGTTCAGCCTTACGGCAGCCGGAGTAAAGCCAACCCCAAGCGTGCCGAGTGTGCTGCACGAGCGTGTAAGAAGGCCACATGGAAGTATCAGCAGCGCATTCAGCGAACACTGACCCCTGACTGGCTCTGAACGTTCCACCATGCGCAGCTTTTCACAGGAAGCAATAAGATATTTCGCAACAATACTTGCAGCACGTTGTCGTGAGTAGCGCAGAGTGCAGTCCGTGTGCGGCCCTATGCTTTCGATCCTCGATCGGCTGCGGCGCTGCGGCCGGGCCGCTCCTGTAGGATTGTCCGAGCTGGAGGAGCAGGCCCAAATCAGCGAACCAAGGGAAAAGGTGGTGTTGTCCGATGTGCATATGGGGGAGGAGGTTGCCTACAGATGCTGCAAGTTAGTGGCGCAAGGAGGGTTTTGTCGCTGTACCGCTGGAGGTAGTGACGAACATTTGGCTTGGAGACTATGCCTCTGCGCTGACCGTCTTGCAGCCGGTTTGTGAGGCGCGGCTCCAGTGTGTCTGCCAGATCCTGAGCCTCAGCTGGAAGTGTCTAAGGAGCAGCCCTGGCGCGCCCTCCACGCTGCATTGACACAACTTCTGACCCAGCTGCCGTCAGCTGCGCCTCGGACTCATGTGCATCACCATGCTTGGTCGATGTAGGTATCTTTATCCAGGGGCTGCTCCACAATGGTGTGAGCGTGAGCATGTAGCTTCCCGAGCTGAGGAGAGAAAATCTGCTGCCTTCGTGCCCAGACGTTTGACAGAGGCCTATGTGTTCCAAAGCTCAGTCCTGCCTTGCCTCTTGACATCGTGAGCTGTTTGTCCCTGTGCATGCAAGCACGTGGAGGTTGCAGTGCGCAATTCCCCCTCTGTCGGACTGGGTGTGCAACGTGTGACGGGCAGCTTGCGTGTCGATGGCGCAGACTTGAGCTACGTGGCTCGTTTGTGTTCCGGGCAAGCATGGCAAAGGCAACCGCATGGCCAAGCTTTACAGCTTCAGATCAGCTCCGAACATCTGAGGTATTGCTGCTGAAGGACAGTGCTTGGGGGGGGATTTCCAAAGCTCCGAGCTTGGTGAGTCCTGACATGTGAGTCGCGTGAGGATCCTGCTCCGGTCGCTCCCCTCCGTGTGCTTCGCTTCGGAGGCAACGCCGAGGTCGCAGGCCTCTCTGCGAGGTGGGATACGGAGTGCACTGCAAAGCGCGCTTCTTAGAGAGGTGTGATGGCCAGGTCGCCCGAGATCCTGCGGCTTGTGGAACAAGGCCTTGCGGATGAGACTCGGCTACGGCCTAGCAGGTGGGAGAGTTTGCAAATTACATGGATCCTCACAGCCCTATTGCCAACTTGGTACTGCTACTAACCTGGATGCCTTGTACTGGGATGGGACATGGGAGAAACCTGATGCCCCCATGAATACCCCAAAATCGAGTAATAGTTTTAATGGCAAGCCAGAGCTTTCAAGTAAGGTCCTTCTCGTGGACTATCGGGGCTTCGGATGGCAACTGTGCAGCATGGACCCGCTGCGGTAACTCACGTCTGTGCTACTGTACAAACTACAAACTCTCGTGGTGCCTCAGAGGTCGACAGGGGTCCCATCGATGGCCACCATGAGACGGGATGCAGAGGCACAGCGAGGGGCGGGCGACTTCACGTTTGCAAGTTCACGTATGCATAACATTGCAGGAGGTAGCCGCGGCATTCCCATTGCTGCTGCAGCAGCATGGACACAGCTCAGAAGGCCAGGCACAGATTTCCGGTGAGATCCGAGTGCAGGATTGGCCGAGAAGCCTGTAATGCCTGGCATTCAGAGGGCCCTTGGTGATCGTGGGTCGCTCCATTGGCTCCTTGGCCGCCTTGCACGTGGCGCTTTTGGGCTTTGGAGAGGTGGGGCCGGGTCGAGCCCCTGTTTTCGAAAGGAATGTGTGTTGGCATCACGAAGAGGCGTTGGTGCTGGACTCCCCGGTCACGTGCCACTGGCCCCTGGAGGACAGCAGATGTGCATCGAGAAAGTTGTATCAGAAAATCTCCGAAGCACCCTTGCAGGGCATCCCAACGGCGACCTGGGCTAGCATGGGCAAAGCAATGCCTGCATGCCTTTCAGCTGGTGGTCGGCTGCTAGGTGCCTTGATTCACTTGGTATGGTCGGTGCCGTAGGTGGCTTGCCTGCAGCGTGGTTTTTCTGCAGTCAGGCCACTGCATGTGCTGCAGAACAGCAGCCAGCAAAGCGGCACAAAATAGTCGCGAGCAGTGCTGCCTGGATCCAACTGTGCCCGAGCTGCAGTTCGCATCTGGTCCGGTGCCATTTGCCTGTGGGCTAGGACGACTCGGGAAAAGATGTTCCGGCGCGGTATAGTACAGTGCAGTCCGCCTTTCTTGCCAGCAATCGCTGTCACACTCTCCCACAGAGCCCAACTGCACATGGCTGGGCCCGACAGAGCGAGAGGCGAGAGAGAGGGAGAGTCTTCCACGGACAGTTGGTGAGAGCCGCAAACCGAGCGGGGGCCGATGCCAGCGAGTTGCCCCAGGGGCTGAAGCGTAGGGACTGCGAAGGGGGTTCCAGGACTTGGGTTTCGGGGGCAAACGTGTTTCCCATCCGCGCGATGAGCGCAGAGGTTCGGGGGCTCAACCCGTTCCCCAAACGCTGGGCAAGCAAGCAACAGAGCGAGAGCGAGAGAGAAGTTTCTGGTGCCACAGTCAGCGGGGACCCCAGTGCCATCCACTCACTAACGCAGTTTGTGGGTGGACGGGCAAAATGGCCTGAGGGTCTCGTAGCCGACCCCTAAGCCCTGCAGCGACAATGCCTGCCCTGTCGGCTTGTGGAAAAGACCCTGTGAACAACTCTCGTGCATCTCGGGTAGCTCCTCCTGAAGTGGTCGTGGTTCCCAAGACAAAAGTTCTTGGAAACGCAATGGCAGGAACAGTGGCGTGGAAACCCGGAGCCTCGATGCGATCCGGACCACTACGGAGACCTCCACGTCATCTTTAGGAGCATGTGAAATGGGACGAAACGGTGAGTTGCACAAGGCTTTGCATGCCTTTGGAGACGTGCAGCATGGCCCTGACATTTTCAGCTCCGAGCGTCCCCCATCGGAGGCGAAGTAGCAGAGCATGTAACTTCAGGTCGTGGCACATGGCCAGCAACGTTAGGCAGTATTTACAGCACTGCACCGATTGAGTTTTGAGAAGAGTGGAGCTGTAGGCACCCTTGCTTCCCTATGCCAAGGACTTGTTGGGTTGCCTGGACATGCCGCTCCTCTACATTAACGGAACCGCGTGGGCCTCTCTGTGACCTGACAGTGCAGTGATTGTTCAGCACAGCTCAGGCCGACGTGGTGTGCCCCGTCGCTCAGGCGAAGCAGTGCTTCGAGGACGGCCGGAGGGTCCTTTGTGCTGTTCGTCGACTGCATCGCTGAGATCTGCAGGCAGCGACTTCGCCAACTAAACGCCTGGTCCTGCTCGAGGGCCTTGGTCACAATGAGGCCCTTGCTGGGCCTTACCGATGGTCAGAAGTTGAATAGGCCTTGCAGACAGTTGCTGTAGCACGTTTCATCACGGCGACACAGAGGGTGGCAGACGTGATGGACGGCCAGGTCTGGGTAGCGTTCTGGCAGACCAATTACATGAATGACGTGCATTGCCACACACCAGAGGGTCCAGTTTGCAAGATGTGGCGTAGTGCTGTCATGAATGAATTGTCAGGTCATGGCCGCCCCGGAGTACAAAAAGGCATTGGAGGATGCAGTGGCATGCATTGAAGTTGATACGACTATCAGTAGGAAAGCGAGGTTCTGCAGGCTCTAGCCAGAAGAGCATAGCACTGAGACCAAGGGTTGTGAAAAGGGTGGTAATCAGCACGCATAAGCTGCATCTCGAAGTGCCATGCAAATTACCATAGTTTTTTCCAAGTAGGGTGACAGTCTGATTGATGCAGGAGTTCCTCACAGACGTGGGCCAGACATGTGGAGTGCGGCTTCAGAAAAGAAGATGGGTTAGCCTGTGCTTGGTCTTGATTTGTTGAATCCCTGTTCCGTCCTGTTAATCGTGCTTGTTGTACCTTCATTAGACTTCGTTAGAGGTTCAAGGGATGCTGACGGACAAGCGTGACAAGCTTTCTGCCTTTGCAGTCCCTGGACAAACCAGAAACCTCTTCGTGTCATGGGGCTCTTGCCTGGGTCAGAAACAGTCAAGTTGAGCAAAGTCAGCGCGAAGATACGACGGCCTGGAAGGAGAGGGAAGGGTTGTTCAGGTTTCTCTGACATTGAGGATCCGGGCTCGCCCTTCCCGGCAGAGGCGATAACGCAGCCGACAGAACACAATGAGCACAGCTCTCTGCGTCTTGCGAGCAAGAGGAGCCCGCAGGACAGGGTGACATTTCACAGACGTTCGATGCCCGGCGGCCCGGTTGAGAGTTGGCCGTGGCAAAACGCGCACACAGAGACAAACCCGTCAGCAAATGAGGGCTCTGAGGCACTGCTTTTACCTCGCGAGACCCAAGAAAACGAAGTTTCCGCCCCCAAGCGCAGGTCGATGGCCAGCTCCGTGCTTGCACCTGTTCTTTCGAGTCTTGGCATGTCTGCGCTCATTTTTCAAAGGTGCTCGGATGTCAACTAGACCGCCTTCGCTCAGGACCGAAAGCTTCGAAACTACAACATTGTGATCAGCAAGGCGGCGCCGGGCGATGCCAGATCGGAGTCAGAGCCGGAAGCTTCCAATGTGGAGGAGACGCGATCGATTCCCCTCGCGAAGTTTCGTGAAGTTTTCCAGGCTCGTAACTCGTATCTTTCACCAATCACGGCTTTGCAAAAGCTGACGTTCAGGGAACGGAGCCGGAGGACATCGCGACCCCGCTGGACGAGCTTTGCGCGACCATGGTGCCTACCAGGGAGCCGGATTCGTGGGTCGATCCGTTCATGCTCGCAGCGAGCATTTCACATTCTGCAACGGGTGTACCTTAGAGCGCTTGCATCTCAACGGCCCCTGCACTGTTCACTTGTCTGCGGAGCTCGAAGTAGGCCGAAGGGAAGGCTCTTCTGCGTTTGCCGCTGGCACCAAGCTCTTCCGAATCGCACAGGCGAACACATCCGAACACTCTTGAGAGTCCGGGGGAAGAAGTGATATGTGGAGCATCCCGGCTATGCACATTCTGAGAAGTAGGCAAGCCCGAGGGTCAGTTGGAGCACGCTAAAGCTTGCCGCGGCCGCCTGATGGGATTGTTCGCATCGACCCTGCAGAGGTCCGCTTGAGAACTGTCAGCTAAAGAACTGGAGATGCGACTGTTGCACTCAAGCTGCCCACTCTCAGGCATCAGGCTCAAACCTACGACCGACGAATGCAATCGGCTCCGAGAGCACAGCCGGCAGTCGAACAGCTCTTCAACATCACCAAAGCCTCAGCTTCAGCACTCTACCCAAGGCCCCAGCCCTTTCCGCCCTGCAAGACCTGGTGTCGCCATGTTCTGGAGGCCTCATCAGGAAAGGCATCGAAAGGGGCTGAGGAACGGGCTGACAGGTCCCAGCAGACGACATGGAATGCGGGCCCCGGGCAGGGACCCAAGCAAGTCCTGGGAGCAGAGCCGGAGCAGAGCCGGCTCTGCCGAGGCTTTCCTTGGAACGTTTCCTGGCAGATCCAAGTCCGCTGCCGCCCTCACCGAGAGGACGCCCTGCGATGCTTCGGCTCTGACTTGGTCTCAGATCTCCGAGCATCTCCGAGCTCTGCCCAGGAGCCATGCCGGCGATGCCGCCGGTGCAGGTGAAGAGCGGGAACAAAGAGATGTGGCCCCCGCCCTCCTGCCAGGCCCAGCGATGCCCGGCGCAGGTGAGCCCAGCGTTGGCCTGCTCTGATGTATGCAGGCTGGGCTGCCGCCGGTGGGCGCGCCTCCTTTGACAGGCGCCCATGGCCAGCCCGAGACCTCTGAGCCGGGTCGGGACCCTGTGCTCCTGGGCGGACTGCCTGGGGTGCTCTTAGAGCAGTACTTCTTCGACTTCGGAATGCTGAGGCCCGAGCGCCGAGTGCTTCCAGCCCTCCCAGCCCACAGCAGCTCCGAGCGGCGCAAGCGGAAGCGGGCGCGAAGGCCGACAGCTTGTGACAGGCCATGACAGGCCGCATGATGCCTTCGGTTGCATTTAGGGTCCCAGGTCTGCAGCCGCAGCCCTGGGGCGGCTACATCTTTCCGAGCAAGACGACCACTAGCAGCCCCTGGAGCCGAATGGAGGGCTTTTTGTGCCTCATGTCGAGCTGCCGCCCGGAAATTCGCTCCGAGGTCGCGGCTCCATGGGGATGCCATCCTTGCCGGCCGCCTGGGTGCCCCATGGGATCCCACGAGAAAGGGAAGTGGGGAGGATGGGCTCATGCCGATGGCTTCTACTCATTTTTGCGATGAAGCCTCTTAGAAAGCTTTGCACGAGGCTTGCGCCCAAAAATCATTGTGCTGAGATGCATGGCAGGCCGACCATCTGCCGACACAACCAGCTGCTCGGCGCCTGGTTGGTGGTCTTGTTGCAGAAGGATGTGAGGTGAATGGTGTTCCGCTGCTGCAACGGCAAGAAGTATTGACCTGCCTGGCTAAAAACAAAAACACATGGCATAGGAGCAGCCCCTCTGCACCTCCGGTTGCAACCTCTCGAGGTGTCGGTTCCTTGGACGAAGCCTTCGGGATCTTCACCTCCAGGCGGGGCCTGAGACCCTTGAGACTCTAACCGCCGACTCCTGCCTCTCATGATGGAACTTGCAACACAAGCTTTCTCATGGCCCGTGGCCAAGGGGCACTTCACATCTCACTGCGAATCTGGATAGACATGGTTTCGCATCCCTGTGCCTAGAGGAAGTTTGGATCTCTAGGCCAGCGCAAGGCATCTGCACCAGGCAGGGGAGGCAGGGGACAGTATTGATACATAGGATACCACTACGCCGCCTATGTCACAACCTCGCGGTTGTGGGTGAAAGCATGTTTAGGAGGAGTGCTTCCTTAGACTCTGAGGCATGTCGCGAAATGGCCGAACACGGGGTAATGCTGAGCCTCCAAATCAGAGATGCGGCGCGGGGAGACCTAGAGTAAATAGCAACCGTGAGGTGCCCAGCCGGAGAGCGGAATTCTAGAAGCTCAGACAGTTCGAAGCTTACGCAGTTGCTTCTGCCGTGGCACTCTTGATCGGCACCGGGCGCCGAAAGCCTAAGGAAACCGGCCTGAAGGATGCGAATCAGCTCGGAGCCAAGCGTCTCAACCAAGGCCCACAACCGGCTAACTGCATCGTGAGGCTGCCACATGGTTGGGCCAATGCCATGGATCCTGTGCAGGCACGCAGTACATCTCATCATTCTGCACACGTGAAGATGAATCTGCATGTGAAGTGCGACCGTGCGATCGGCTGCAGAGGCGTCAGCCTCCGCACCAGCCGATCACTCGGTCGACTTCCACCTTTTGTAACTGAGCCAACAGAAAAATGCAGCGCCCCCTAGCAGTCAGAGCTCAGGAGTCCGAGGAGTCCGAGGAGTCCGAGGAGTCCGAGGCTGCGTTGCCTGAGGGGGAGCCTGCATGCGGGCCGAGCCTTCCGCCGGATGGCAAGGCCTGGGCTTAGGGAGGCAGTGCAAGAGTGAGGGGCTCTGCTAGCGTGGCCCATGGAGGACGAGGACGACGCCTTATGCCCAGAAACACTCTTGAAGAATCTGAAGGCCAGTGGCCAGAAAATGCTGAGAGCATTGGATCAATCTGGAAATTCGAACCAGGCCGCTCGCAAAGCTTTGCTTTGGGAGCGAGCAGTCGCGCAGAGGTTGCGTAAGGCCTTGGACATGGCAGAGGCCCCCTCAAAAATGTTTCCGGGCATATGCCTGTGCTCCTGGTGATGCTTGATCATGCTGCGTGCCTGGGTGCGAAGAGACTTGACAGCAGGCGTGGGCACCTGCTGACGAGACAACAAGTCAAGATTCGGAGGCAAGAGCACAGAGAAATCATCGCTCAACCCACACGCCGCGATTCAACAGGTCAGCAGACTGCAATCCACCATTGCGCGGCGATCTGAGCTGTCTCGAATCGACGATAGCCTACAAGCTCTGGCCGCTGTGCGTCTGTGGCTCCCTCTGTGTGTGTGTGTGTGTGTGTGGGTGGTGATGGATGCGGTCGACACCGCTCCTCCAAGCTCGGGTCTGTCTTCAGGCTGCAGAAGCAAGAGATTGCAGAACTCCAGCAATCGGTGCAGGACGGAAGTTGCTTGGCTTTAGCTCTTCCGCCCAAAGTGCACCTGGCCAGACGGTTTGTGTTTGAGCTGGAAGCTCATGCTTTCGGATGGCCCCATTCGCATGCCGTCGAGAATTCATGCGAGGTTATGAGACATTTGCGCTTACTTTGTTATCTAAGATGTTTCTCAAGATTCGTGCTATCGGCTATCAATTCTCCTACACCGTCTCTCCTAGTGCAGATGCAGCGGCAGCCACGAAGCAGCCCCTTTTTGGCAGCTATTGTCTGAAGTGGGACGAAGGGGTGGTGATGGTGATCACTCACATTCCTCATATTTCTTCAGCGGTTTTCGAGTGGCTGGCTTGATATTCTGCGGCTACAAACAGCGATCCGCAGCTGTGATGACCCAGAGATAAATTCGGCGGGCTGATGTGATGTGATGAGAGACATCTCCGCTTACTTTCTGAGCTGTTCTCGACAGTTGCTCGTTACTGGTGTGCATGCAGCGGTGCTTGCTCTGCAATGTTCTACACCATTCGAAGGAGTTGTCAAGCGCCCAGAACGGCGCACAGGATGACTCAGAGATAAATTCGGCGGAGCTGACTTCATGTGATGAGTCTCATCTCCGCTTACTTGCTGATGTGTTCCAATTCGTTCTGGAAGTATGTGCGAGCTGTTGCTGAAAGTTGTTGAGATGTTCGTTGTCTTAATGGGAGGTGTTCGCTGAGAGACACACTACTTTCAGAGGGGTGTGCTTGACATCCGAGCGCTGCGTGACATGTCCAAGAGGGGAACATTCTGCGGCTACAAACAGCGATCCGCAGCTGTGATGACCCTGAGATAAATTCGGCGGGCTGATGTGA